AGGTCTCTGCAGGAGGTGACAGTAAGTTGTCTGTCAGGAAAAAAATAATCTTCAAATGAAATGTGATGGAAATTTCACTGTCTGCAAAAACTCTTCCCTTAATCTCTCCAGCCTGCATTCACTAAAGAGACAGAGTGCTTCATGGATAAGTGAATGTTGGTACCTGGGCTGGGTTTGTTCAGATGCTCAGTAAAACAACCACAATGTATGTGGTATAAATAAATAATTCACGATAAAGGTACAACCAGACATCAGGTCTTATTTTCCCTCTAATGGAAAATTAAGCTGCATGGCTACAATTCTGTTTTAATGAAGGGCAGAAGAAAGGGCAGTAAAAAGGGGAAAGAAAGAATGAAAGATGAGGGAAGTCATCAATACGGATGCTGACAAGCACATTTTCACAAAGCTGATTACAACTTCATACCCATGCATAGCTCAGACTGAGGATAGTTTGTCCATCCTGGGGTAAAAAGAAAGCTGGATTTTCCTTCCAAAACCTATGCTTAAAGTATTTTTTTAAGTGCCTTTACAGACAGTACAGCCATGAGATTTGTACAATGTCTTGTACTTGAAAGCAATACAGACGGCCTAAGACTTGAGGGATATTGAGAAGCAACATGGTTGTTGTCTCTGTAATGTTGAAGAGACCATATAGAACTACTGTCAGTCATTACCACTTTAAAAGCATGTTTCAGTCAACAATTATGTGTAGCCTGAGAGACACCAAGGTCCTCGATGCTTAGTGAGATCTGCTGATTTTCCTTTTCCCTCATCAAAACTGCTGTGCTAGCAGACATCTCCACTGATTTGCACAATTACAGAACTAAAAAAGGACAGTGATGAGATAATCATCAGTGTTTAAGGTCAGCAGTATTGATAAGATTTTTAAAAATTTCTTCTAGCATTTTAAAACATTTTTTAAAAGCATAATTTTCTCTTAAATATTGTCCATTGCTAAGATTGCAAATATGTAACTAATGCTATCACAATTAACTTTTGTTATCGTTATTATTTTTTAATCTAAAATGTAATAAACATACCTCCAGAAGCATGGGAAAATCAAATGAAGACTTAATGACTGGATAAACAAAAGCTATGGCTGAACTGCAGAATCCATTCTAGCAAGCCACAATCCTGAGTCAAAAACTCTGAGAAAACAGAGAGTATTCAAGCCTTGGCAGGCTCCACTCCTACATGTCATGCCTAAGTTAGACCTGGACAGAAAGTCCGCTGACTCCAAAGAACCTCACCAGCATTTGGGCTACTTATTAACACGGAATCCAAGTAATGTTACCTCTCTAGTCTGAAAAAGCTATTTTAGAAAAGATATGCAAGCCAAGCAACACTTAGACCCATACGCTTGACCAAGACAAGAAGCCTACCTACCTCATTTAGCAGTAAATGTTCTCCCCTGCAGAACTGCTTCCTATCTTCATCTCCCAGAGAGAAAGAACTAATTGGAAGTACATTCTACATACAAACTGGCTGCTTACAGCTTGGGTGCAGCCTCTTTTTCTTAGGGAAAACAGTCCCATTGGCTTCAAATGCAATGTTCGTGTACAAGGTTCAGGCATCACACTGCAGGAGCGTTGAGAAGAGCAGGATCTTCTCTAAGCTCATAAAGTCAATACCTCCCTTGGTGATACCTCTCATCAGTTTCCTCTTCCATCTATCTGAACTTTTAGGGTTTTAGAGCAGGAGTTGACTCTCCAGTATACCTACGCAGCAGTGAGAAGAAAGCACTTATAATTTCCGTGTGACTCCTCAGCCCACAGATATCAGATGTTAGCCATATGTACAAGTACCAGTGGGTAAATCTTAACAATCCTGAAGAACAAAACAAGGGGGAAGACTGTAATACAGTCAGCTTTCCACTTACATCTTTTGCTCAGATTGCCTTTCAGTCTTTCTTCTTCATGTAAACCTGATATGTCACCTCTTCATTGCACTGCATTTATTTAGTCTGGTAAGTAAAACAGGAAGCATCTAGCCTACTGCCCATTAACTGTTGAGGCTTAACTACAAGAAGAGTCATTAAGGTAGAAAAATTAAGGTGTGATTTAGTAAAAACAACTCATTTGCCTCACAGAAATCTGAGGCTTTATTTCTAGTGAAGCATAAGCTTGAAGATACATTGCTGTTGAAGTGGATTTTCATATTTGACTGGGTTCTTTTCTGAAATTTAACTTTAAAGTGAGTTTCAAACATTTCTGTTCTTTTACATCATTTTACTACTATTAAAAAGTTGCTGTTGGGGAAAGGTTGTTTATTGTAGCTGGTAAATATCATTTTAGCTTCTTCACAGGGTCAAATTATTTTTTCCCTCTCTGGAAAATTACATAAAACAGACATACACATACTATACAATTTACAGATGTACCAAGCAGTCTGAGAAGTATCTGATTCTGGAGAGGATCCAGCTCTGCATTCCTCTCTCTTTCAATCTACCTGATGAAGAACAGGCTTTACAGTTTTGCACTGTTTTCCTGAATTACAGTTTGCCTACCACACAGAGGTAGATCACCCTCAAATCCTCCAAACTGAATAAATCCTAGGAAAAAAAAAAGATGCACCATTGCCAAATCTGTGGAGATGGACAGAGAGAGTCTCTATCTGCCAATAGCTCATTTCAGCCACTTTATACACCCTAATTTGTATCCAGTTATCATAACTGCTGGTATTAATATGAAGAGCTAGCTATCTCAAAAGGCCACTAACCCTTGTTAAGCTGCAAATTCCTGCATGAGCTGCTATTCTGTATCTGGAGATCTTCTATCTACATGCCTCTCCACTGGCAGATTGCTGTACAGTCTATAGAAGGGAAGCCCCACAAAGAGGTCTGTCTCCAAACCATTGAGACTTAGAATGGAATTATCATTAGGATAGGTTGAGAATGAATGTGTACTCCTTTAAAAAAATAACAAAAGACTTCAGTCTTGATTTCAGCAGCGGGGAAGTGAACATTTGGACTAAACCCAAGCATTAGGCACCATGCCAAAAACATCACAGTCTATGGGCAGGTCTCACCAGGCTCTCTCTTAGAAATGCTTGGTAGGTTACTGTTCTCAAATGCCTCTCCTCTGAAGCAATTTTTTTTAAAGCTAATTAATTAAACATCACTGAGCACTTTTCACTTCCCATATTTTGAAGATGCAAGCTGATATCACAGAAGAACATTTAATGCAGCTTGGCACTGGCATAACTCTACATCCATCAATAGAGTACTTTACTACCTTAGTTAAGTGATAACTCCCATAACATTTTAGTCCAACTAGGACAAAAATAAGCTGAGAGGTGAAGAATTTAGGAAGACCTCTTCATGCCCATCTTCTTTTTGTAGAAGAGCCAGTGCTCCCATTATGTTATTTAACACTGCATACTTTTGCACATTTGAATATCCAACATATATTCATGTAACAGAGGGACTGCAGACCTTGATTTCATTGGCATGGTCTACCTTATTTTCTCTTGCCTAAACACGTCACAGACAGGCACACAAGAGATCTCCCCGAAGCAAGACACAGACAGCACCATATTTAAATCCTAGCATCAGGCATTAACTAGAGGATAGCTTTTTTCCCTGCCACTGCTATATCATAATGACCTACCTACTGAAAGCTGCACTTCAGTGCCAGGGGACAAAAGTGGCACCTGAGGGAGAATCCCAAGTCTCAGCAGAATACAAAGTATTCTTTGACAGAGAACTTCCTTTTTCGAAGAAAGGATAATTTCCTAGTTAGAAGTTAATCTCTTTGCAGCCTTTAAAGGTATAAACTTGAGCAAGGAAAATCTGATCTTTCCTCTGTTATTTAACATTAGCATAAATCCTTAATAGATGTTTCCTCAGAATTTTTACGGGAAAAAAAATACTTCCCAAGTAGTTCTCTTGGGGGAGAGATGAACAGAAGATTGACAACTTAAAAAGAGCCAGATGTACATAAAGCTGTTAGAGAGTTTCCACTGAAAGCAGATAAGTTCTGAGTCTGATGACTGGAATATTATGTATATCCATCTCCCTTGCGCTACTCTGCTGGTTTGAACCTTGAGGGACAGATTACAAGATCTGGCTGCAACAAATTCAACTTCCAGGTAAGGAAACTGTTAGTGAAAAAGTAAGGATGACTTACTTCGGAGAAGTCAGGAAAATAAAAAATCCTCAAGCATGTATTTGCTTCCTGTAGCCAGATTATGGCTCTGCAGTACTAAGCAGAAACACTGTTTGTGCTTACTGAGCGAAACTGACACCACTGCTTTGCAGAGCAGTTCTGCTGTTAGGCTGGAGTTGTTCATTGCTTAGATATACACTATACAGCTATAAAAAGACAGCAGAGGTGGTGCACTTTGCTTCAGCCTTTAATTGAATGCTTATTTGTTGTTGGGAAGCACACTGAAACCTGTGTTGCAGATCTAAGTGGCATCTGGATATTTTCACCCCATGGGATTGCTTTCATCAGCCACTGCAGGACAGCTTTCCAACCCTGCCAAGGGAACTCCAGTAGATGAAATAACCAGCTTCAATAGCGCAAGGAGTGAAGTTATTTTTCACCTCCATTTCTGAGATAAAAGACATCATAGGAAATACATTTAGAGTAAGTTTTCATTTCTCCAGCCTCTCAACATGACTTGGGAGGCAGCAGGTGACTCTTTACTCATAAACTCTTTGTTTTAGCAAACTGAAATGAATCCTAATTGGTACCATGCTATCACTAACTTCACCCATAGTGTCTAATGCTCACATCTATAAATGTCAAGTTTCCTTTTTCCATCTCATACTGCTGACCTTAAATGTGCTCTATAGGATGTCCTTTACAAAGCAAATAAAAATAAAGCAGTGAGTAAGTGCAAGCACGTATTCATCTAATTCATGTTCTAGCCTGAAAAGTCTGGATGAAGACACTATGGAAAAGCATTTTGAAGATCTACAGCAGGGCCAGCTTACTTTACACAACCACAGTCTCAGCTGTAAAGGAAATGACTTTCAATGGTCTAGTGAAGGCAACTCAACCCAGTTCACAACTTGCACCAAGGGAATCACTCCACGATTTCATCATGGCAGTTTCTTTCACAGAGGCTTCACCTTCAAATCGACTGGCTCTAAAGATACTACATGCACCATGGGAGGATAGCTTTGTTACAGCACCCTGCAAACACGGGAAGACCAAGAGACTGAGATCCACTTCCCACAGAAATTATGTCCCTGTGGTCTGAAATTCATGAGCAGTTTAGGGTTTTCCAAGATGTTCTGGGCAACTTATGTGTGACATCAGTCACTCACCTAAGCTCTGTAGTTGGTAAGGAGTATTCACTTCAATGTCTGGAGTATCCTTGAGAGACATCCCAGCTCAAGGGAAGATCACCACTGTGAAACCAATTACTTAGCAAGGAGAGCTCAAAAGAAGTTCATTCAGGCTGTCATATTTATGGAATAAAATGCCTGACTCACAGTCAGATTATGAAAGATGGAAAAGGTAAGCACAAGACTTTTTACCCAGAATCTTTCGGTCCTTGATAATTAGTCTTGAAGAACCTCTTGCACTCCCTGATCTCAGATAAGATCCCTCTTCTACACAGTAACTATACCAACACAGCTTTCCCTGCCAAATTTTCATTTTCAGTACCAGATTAATAATCTCTGCCCTTTCTGTGAGGCTCAATCCATCATTCACAGTGTCCAGAGAGCAGCAAAATGCTCTGAGGATTGCTTCAAAAAAGAATGATGCCAGTAAGCTCACAAGAAGGTCTCTCTGAAGAAACGTGGGTTTTGTTAATAAGGGTGGTGTATCAGTAAATTAATACCACTCTTGCAGTTTCTACAGGACAAAGGTTTTATCTGATGCTGTATTTTACATAAACTAGATGTTGTACAGCCACTGCTTAATCTCCTCTCAGCAGGTTTGCAGAGAAGAGGCTCTGGATTCTTAAAAAAAAGCTAATCTTTCCAAGACCTAAAGCAATTTCCATCATCATTTTGCAGGTTTTGTCGAAAAAGTGCTTAAACCTCTAACAGGGTGCATATTATTCTTTAATGATGCATGTCATGTGCCAGGACTAATCACTTATTCTGACATTTTATATAACAACACCAACTCTGAAGATGGATATTTTCCTTTTGTTGTGTACCAAGAATACTGGGAAGGGCAGAGGGAGCAAATCTGCAGCAAAGCTAGAGTCTTAATAGCACTAAGAAGTGGATATCATTGAAATATACCTGATATTTCACAACTGATCCTGAAGGCTTGTCAAAGTTTTGATGCCTTCTAATGGGGACAGACGTGAGTTGATCATGTTCCACTACAGTGCTAAATAGTGTACAGATACATTTGATGAAAGGCTTAGAACCAAAGAGTATACCAAAGAGTTGGCTTAGAACCAAAGAGTTGATCACTGGGGGATTACAGAGTTCAGTTAAGTCTTGTTATATTTGCCAGATTCATACATGACCAGCAAGTCTAACAGTTTGACACAGAGTTTCCAGCTACTTCCAGTAACACTCCAAAGACTAATCCTATATCTTGTTATTACTATAGACAAAGCTTTCCTTCTTCTATTTTTATGAATTGTGTTAATAGACTGGTAGATGAGGCCACACTGTGTTGAAAGACAAGCCCAAATACCTACTACATTAAAAAGAATGTTTTTTTCCTACTTTAATGTTTCGCACTATAATTTCTCAAGAATTTTTAAAATTTTAGTGATTTTCTGCTTTACAAAGTCTGCACATTCATTGGTCTTAAACTCACAGCATTCACATGACAACTACAGCGATACCAATGCTTCACTTAACACTATGCAAAAACCAAGCCTATTCTATGAGGCAGCTTAGACCCTCCAGCTTAGTAATAGCACCATAAACTTTCTTCCTTTTCTAACAAATGAGGTCATAATAATCTTTCTAGCTAGTAGTGTAGTTCTTATACTGTTACATCCTAAACTCACTTTACTTATATTTCCCCTCTTTGAATCTCAGCAAAACTTAAAAGAATCCCCATCACAAGCCTCATTGCAGTTAGTAAGTCTGTGTGGATGGACCACAGGTTCATTAGGTAGAAAAAGTATAACAAATAGAAGAACAGCAAATTGTTGCCAATTGTTGTGAACAGACACTGCTCAATTATTGCTAGAAGGAAACTTGCTATCCTAGCCTTAAGATGGTTGAGCCTCAGGAATTTAAATTAGATAGTCCTAGTCCCACACGACTTCTGTACATCATTTTTGTTGGGAGTGTTCTGCTCAAAAGGTGTTGGAGGAAGCAAAGTTGTATGGGAAACTTCACTAGAAAACAGACCTGCTTAACTCTTGGACCTAAGAACTTGCCCTTGCCAGATGATTAATTAACAATCAGGGAATATAAACTTGACAAATGAAAAGACTATCCATTAGCTCTGAATTTGAATTAATATTAGCCAGGAGTATATAATTAATAATATTAAGTTCTTCCAGGTGCATGTGTGGGCTGGAGTACTGCTAAAGAAGGAGGCTGTGACTTGGATATCCAAATTAAACATGCTATCTCGTCAGGAGTGAAGTCAACACTGCGTGGATTTTTGCCCACATCAAAAATCCGATTGCAGTTTGATATCTCCACTATTGATAGTCTGAAACTTCACAAATATAAGTGTTGGTTTTAGATGGGAACATAGAGAGTTGCTAAGTGTGTCCACTGCCTGTCTATTCATGCTATCTGCTGTCTCAGAGTAGAAAATTCCTACATCAGTAATCCATACAAAAGGCCATCATCTTACAGTTGCACAGAAACCTTAACTTCTGATTAGGTGAACAGGTTTTATAACAAGAATTTTGTACAGCTCTATTCAAGATTCATGTTTAAAAGACCTTGTAAAATAGCAGTAGATTTTGCAGTGGACTCTGAGGTGAGCAAAGGGTATGCAGTAACAGATCATGGGGAAATACAGCAAGTCTTGTCATGTTTGCTTCTCTGCTATTATTTTTTAAAGATATGAAATATCCTTTGTGTATTGAGGGTAGAATTATAGAATGAGTCATGGACTTGGATAACTTTATAATGGCATTGACTGAATCTCCTTCACAGACACACTGTGTGCTAGCTTCAGAAAATGAATTGGTCTTGGATGACAAAAAACAATGGGGTTTTTATATGAATCATCACACCTTAGCACAATAGAAGATTTTCAGGTTTTTTGTATTTTTAATTTCTGATGGCCATGGCTTAAAGTCATTGCAAAAACAGTGCCATTTTTCGCTTTTATTTTATCATACAGCTAGAAAATACTGCACATTCAAGGCAGTGATATATTGCAGGATTACTTGTTTGTCATTTAATTTTATTTCTGAAAATAAAGTAGAAGCCTTGTCTCTTTACTTCAGTTTTCTTTTATATGGTAATAAAATTACTTTGACCTTCAGGTTTGTGCTTTAAAATTGTATAGAAAGTGTATTTGTGTAGGTTTTCTGACATTCACGGGCAGAAAATTGGTTAAAGGAAAAAGTAAAGTACATATGTGTATAATAGTACAGAATTTATAATCCTTGCCCTTTTAAGATTATTTGTAACTAAGTTGCTGGAGGTGTGTTATGAGGATAGTTTTTAGGAAAAACAAAGATGAAGTCTGGAGGAACAATGCCAGCTAGCAGGAAGAAGTTACTAATAGTAAGTGTGCTCTTGATACTATTGTTCCAGAAAGCACATCATTTTTCATCTCTTTATAAAGAAATAAAATGTGAACATATCTCTAGCATTTTCTTCAGGCCCATAAAGAAATTCTATTGTTTGGAAATGGAAGGGGAAAAAAAGAAAAAGATAAGGGAACAGTAGAAGGAACAGTCAAATTATCTTGGCAACTAGGGCTACTGTTTAGAAAGTAGGCTATAGATTTCTATGGGACAAGGAGGGTTAGGTATGAAAGGCGAGTTTCCTAACACTTTCAGGATGCTTGTGTCAGCATTGCTATGTTTTGTTTAGAAGCAAAGCTTAAAATCTAGGAAGTACCCAACAAAAAGTGTAGTAATAAAGATTAAGGAAGTCTATTTCCCACCCCATCTGCCATCAATCTGCTGAATTCATTGTCACAAGATCCAGAGAAAGTGAGAAAAATAAATGCATCTGAAAGTAGGTGAAGATAAACTGATGAAGGACTGGTCCACCCATCATCATTACGCTGATTGATCCCAGTGCACCTTTTGGTTCAGAAGGTGATTGAACTGGTGACAGGAAAAGGTAACTTGTGCATCCTGGAAAGGTATGGTGTACCAGGGCAAAAAAAACACAAACCAAAACAAAAAAAAATCTGGTGAACTTTTTAAAAATTAACTAAATATATACAGAGTATAGTTCACAACTACCAAATTCATGAAATGATAGATGAGTATTATAGAGGAGTCAAATCTACTTTTCCTCCTAATTCCTTGGGTCCAATTAAAGCCATGAATTTCTCTGCAGAGAAAAAGGCAAGCAATGAATCCACAGTTCCCTCAGACAACTTTTGAGATTTTGTTTCTATAGCAGAAAAAGGATACCAAACTGTCCATTCTTCAGGTAAATTTATTTTAATACTTCCTCACTGTAAGGTAAGTGCACATACCAGTCTGTACTAATTGATATCTATATTTACACACATCATTCTCAGGGCTCAATTGGCAACATTTCCCACAGCCTGCAGCACTCGAGCAAGAGATCCAGATTTTACAATTCAACTTGGCATTTCCTAATAAAAACTTAATTAATAATTTAATCTTTCCTGATTATTTCCCAGCATTCTTTTAATAATGCAAACATAAAAGCCACAGTCTCACAGAGACATTTGAAATTAAAGATATTCAGATTTTATCACTAGCATCATTGTAACTACTCTCACATATCATATGCAGAAATCATATTACAGAAATTCAGAAAAATATGTGAAAGGATAAGCAGGGATGTACTTTAGGAGCTATTTAGGTACTTAATGGGAATTTTTAAGGTTCCCAGTTTGGACATGATAGCCTTTTCTCTAAATTCAATATAGAACAATAGAATCTTTTGAGTTGGAAGGGACCTTTAGAGATGATCTAGTCCAACTCCGCTGCAATGAACAGGGACACCTACAGCTCAATCAGACTGCTCAGGGCCCCAGCCAGCCTGACCTTGAGTGTCCTCAGGGATAGGACTTCCACCACCTCCCTGGGCAACTTGTGCAAGTACCTCATCACCCCTACTGTAAAAAATGTTTCCCTTACATCCAATCTAAATCTTCCCTCTTTTGGTTTGAAACCATTCTCCTTTGTCCTACCACAACAGACTTTGCTAAAGAGTCTGCCCTTCCTTCTTATAGTCCCCCCTTTAGATACTGAAAGACCACTATCAGGTCTCCCTGGAGTCTTCTCATCTCTAAGCTGAACAGCCCCAGCTCTCTCAGACTGTCCCTGTAGGAGAGGTGTTCCACTCCTTGGATCATTTTTGTGTCCCCCTTCTGGATGTTCTCTAACAGGTCCGTGTCTCTCCTGTAGTGAGGACTCCATATCTAAACACAGTACTCCAGGTAAGGCCTCACCAGCATAGACTAGAGGGGCAGAATCACCTCCCTCTCACCCTGATGGCATTTCTCTTGATGCAGCCTAGGATCAATTGGCTTTCTGGGCTGCGACGACACACTACTGGCTCATGCCCAACTTGCCATCTACCAGTACTTCCAAGTCCTTTTTGGCAAAGCTGTGCTCTGTCTTTACATCGTCCAGCTTGAGATGACAGCAGGGGTTGCTGTAACCCAGGCGCAAGACTTTGCACTTGAATTTAGTGAACTTCATGAGGTTCACTTGGATCCACTGTTCGACCCTGTCCAGGTCTCTCTGGATGGCATTCCATTCCTCAGGCATGCCAACTGCATCCCACAGCTTGGTGTCATCCACAAACTTGCTGAGAGTGCACTTAATCCCAATGTGAATGTACCTAATGAAGATGTTAAAGGGCACTGGTCTCAGTACAGACTCCTGAGGGAAACTACTTATCACAGATCTCCATCTAGACACTGAGCCACTGACCCTCTGGGTACAGTTTTGCAACCTGTCCACTGATCAAATCCATATTTTCCAATCTGGAGAGAAGAATGTTATGGGGAACTGTGTCTTAATGAATTCCAAATAGATGACATCAGTGGCTGTAGAAACAAATAAATTAGAGATACACAGATTACAGAGATGGACTTCATGGTGCACGAGTAATTGGCTGGATGGTCACACTCAAAAAGTTGCAGTCAAGATGGAGATGAGTGACAAGAGGCATTTCGTAGAGTTTGGTAGTTCTGTTTAACATCTTTGTCAGAGACACGGGCAGTGGGATTAAGTGTATCCTCAGCAAGTTTGCAGGTAACACAAAATTGAGTGGTGCAATTGGCATGAAAGAAAAAAGAGACACCATCCAGAGCATCCTCAACAAACTTGAGAAGTGGCACCCTGTGAACCTCATAAAGTTCAATAAGCCAAATGCACGGTCCTCTACCTCAGTTGGAGCAATCCCAAGCACAGTTACAAGCTGGGTGGAGAGCAGATTGAGAGCAGCCTTGCAGAGAAGGTCTTAGAGGTACCTGTGGATGAAATATTCAATGTGAGTCAGCAATGTGTGCTTGCAGCCCAGAAAGCCAACCATCAGAAGAAACATGGCCTGCAGGTCAACGAAGTGATTACCTTCCTCTGCTCTCTGCTCCTGTGAGACATCATCATGAGTACTGCATTCAGCTTTAGGGCCCCCAGCACAAGAAGGACATGTATCTGTTGGAGGGAGTCCATAAGCAGGCCACTAAGATGCTCAGTGGGCTGGAACACCTCTCCTTACAAAGAGAGGCTGAGAGTTGGGACTGTTTAGCCTGAAGGAGTGAACGATCTGGAAAGACTTGATTGCAGCCTTCCAGTACTTAGAGGGAGCTTATAAGAAACATGGAAAAAGAGTTTTACAATGGCAGGTAGTGATAGGACAAGGGGTGATTGCTTTAAATGGAAAGAGGGTAGATATATTTTAGGCATAAGGAAGAAATTATCTACACTAGTGGTTGCAATCCTGCTCACAGCAAGGGGGTTGGAACTGGATGGTCTTCAAGGTTCCTTCCAACCCAAACCATTCTATGATTCATTATATAATTTTCACTCCTGCCTTCAAATGCCTTTTTGGACAGTCTACACTTCGCTCATCAGTACAAGGCCTGAAAAAAGGACAGACACTATAAATAGCAAGAAATTCGGATTGTCCCTTTTGTGATCTCTGATGTCACTGAGTAAGTCAATTCTACACCATTCTGAAGAAACAAACCTGATTTTGGATGTCATACTAGGATACAAAGATCAAAAAAATCAATGTAATGTCATAGATGGAAAAACTTAGAATATTGGTTTAAAAATGAGATACAGAGATGCATATCCAAATGTAAAACACTTTATAATTCCCAAGACAGACACTTAAATACAGTAAAGATTTTATCTCTAATAAAAAAGAGCCCTGTGAAAGGATGCATGTGTATGATTACTGTACAGTCACACCTAAATATTAATATTGTTGGATGCATGATTGCTTCTCTTTTGTAAAGAAAAAGCTAATTATGGGTGAAGCTGAAACCATGAGCTCTTCTGTCTCTGAGGCAGAGACATAAAGAGGGAGCTGAGAAAAAAAGAAAGTATCTTAAATAAAGGGAAAAAGAGAAGTGTAAGAACTGTAAGAATCAAAGGACGAAGAAAAGTCTGGTATGTGAGGTCTTGAAAGCTGTGAGGTCTTGAAAGCTTTTCCTAGAAAGGAGAAGAATAAAAAAACAAGAGAAATAAAATCCCTTGGAATGTTGCTCCTTCTTTAGGCACAGGAAGACAAACAAAATACTGGTCAGATTGCTGTAGAAGGTGCCAAGGTATAAGACGGAGCTCTATAGACATTATAAATCATAAATCTTGCTCTTAATGTTTTAGAGGTGGATGTGACTTTCTGATGCCATAGGGAAGCAAGTTTAAGAACTGAGTTCCTTATTAGCCAAATAGGCTAGTAAAGGCTCTATAGTTGCACAAGTGTGAAGTGGAGTTATAACCTTTCTAAAGAAGTCCCTGCTTCTGGAGCACATTTATGTGCATTTCACCCTGCATCTCTGCAACCGAAAAATAAGCAGCTATCTAAAATTTGCTTCTAAATGTCATGCTCTTTACCTCCACTAAGTCTTCCTTTGACATTCAATTTGGCATAAAAAAATAGGGAAGGCACATGGGAAGGCACTTTTACTGATAGAATTCCTCCTTTCTTTATCTTTTATCTAAATGTCCTTAGAATAACAAGTCCACTATCTTGATCATGGCAATAGTTGTATTTATTACATTGACAGGAACAGCAAAATAGGGAAACTTTACCCAATACTACTGCCATATATATCTGCTATGCAAAGGAGATAAGTTTCCAGGTAAATGAGGTAGCCATTAACAGTCTCCCTAGCAACACTTGAACTAGGATGTTTTCCAATAGTCATGAATTCAGAAATCAGCCAGAAGGATCCACTCTCCAGTCTGATCTCCAGTATTACCAAAGCTGGAAAGTTGCACTGGATCCATTTTGCTTTGAATAAGATAATTTTTACTAAGACAAGGAATCATCTGAGCTAAAAACTGCAAGCACTTCTGATAATAGGAGACATGTCACAATCCTTAAAAATTGTCCCCATAGTCAAGGACATTGGAATAGGTTTGAGATCAGCTCTACCTGACATATCATTTCATTTAATATATTGAGTTTGCCCTTCATCAGATTGATACAAGTATGGCATACAGGCTTCTTGTTCATCGCTGGCAGAAATGCATAGCTAATGGTGGTGACTGTTGAAAAAAAGTGCTTTGTAGCTGAGAATTCACTCTATCAACCAGTGTTACTGTGCTCTTTGAATCAGTTGTAGTTTCTGCAGAAATAAATAGGAGGCATTACTTTCAGAGTGACCTATATACATTCTTTCTTCTGAAGGGCACAACCAAACTGACAGACTAGACAACAGCCAAGCTTAGGAGTTTTATGTTACACCGTCTGATGTATGAAGACAGGACATTTGCACCTTTGTAGGTTTCTTGCATTACTGCCTGACTACATGTTACTACTACTTCCACAACTGTGAGAGCTGCTTTCAGCTGGAAAACAGAGATCAATCGCAGTGGGGGACCTACTAAACATTTCTAGACCTCCATGCTAATACCCATGTTGGAGATCTGCATCAGACACATAGTAAGTCTAAAATTAAAGATCTGGATCTGACTCTCTCAGTCAGAGCCAGTGATTATTTCACATTTCCCCTTCCTTCAGTGCAAGCCTTATCACTTTAAGTTGTTTTTCCATCCTGCAAGCTTCTGATGCCTCTCAGAGCCTGGCAGGCAAAAGGTTTCTTACATCAGAGACACCTCCTTATTACTAAATCTGACAGCCTATTTTCCATGTGTAAACACGTCAATGTA